GTTTTGGGCTAGGGGCCCCACGGGCCCCCTGCACCCCAAGGGCCCCTGGGTAGCGGCCCCGCTGGCCCGGTCCGTAATCCGTCCCTGCTTATGAGAGACTGGGTCAGTCAGGATTATTTTTCTTCCTATGATTTCAATAAAAGAGGTACAGCTATACTGATCAATAAAAAACTTCCTTTTATTCTTGAACATGAGGAATCCGATCCTGAAGGTAGATTTATCCTGATAACGGGCACCATTTTAGGCCAATACATTACTTTGTTAAACGTATATGCCCCGAATACGCATTCTCCTAAATTTATCTCTCAGGTGATACTTGTCACGCCCCGCTCCGTCCGATCCTAATGTGTGCCACGCCCACCTCGTTACCTCGTGTTCATCCCTAATTGTTCTCATCTGTGGCCTGTTCTGCTCACCGTATTCTGTCCATATTAGTCCACGTCTCCCACTGTTTCCCAGATTGGTCATTGATGTTTGCTGACGTTCGTCTGTGTGCTTTCCCGGTCCTGTTTCCCCGATTAAACCCCGTTATTTCTGACTTCCTGGCTCCTTTTCCCTGCTTCCCTGCTCGCCTTCATACCGTGACGTGACAGAATGACCGATCTCCCAAACAACTCACCGCAGCAGGATGAAGATCTGTGGCTTGATCACTGGTGCAGTATATTCCATATTAAGTTTCGTTCTAGCACAGATCAATAAATTAAAATTAGAGTCAGTTGGGTGTTCCTTATGCTCTCTCTCCAATTTCAACACTTCTTCCTCTAAGACTTTCGTATCATGCTGTGATTTTTTTTTCCAAATAAGAAGATAGCGAGATTAAATGACCACATAAAGTGGCTTTGGTGGTGTCCCACATAATGGCAGGAGAGACAGGAGAATATTTATTATCCTGCAGAAATTGAGAGAGATTGTCCCTAATAAATGTACAAAAATTCTCATTGCTTAATAAAGAAGTATTAAGGTGCCACAGTGGTGTTTTTGGAATGCGGGAGGCCAAATTAAAACATAAATATGAAGGGGCATGATCTGAAAGAACCACAGACCTTATTTCTGGGCAAATGATATGGATATGGTCTTTCTGAGAAAAAAGTAGTCAAGCCTTGAATACAAGTTATGAGGGTGGGAATAGAAAGTGTAATCTCTGGAGCCCAGATGAAACTCCCTCCAAACGTCTATCAATCCAGTTCCACTAGTCAATGAATTGAGAATACGTGAGGATCTCAGATTACTTGCAGGGGCGGCAGAAGATTTATCCAAATGAACATTCATTAAACAATTGAAGTCACCAGCTAGAAAACCTAAG